TTAGTAAGTAAACAAGTTTTCCGTTAAAATACATCTTAAGCATTGAATTTTATAAGTGTATTTGGTACATAGCAAAATCTAAACAAAAGTAACCGAAAACTTATGTTGTTTCCTATATTAAAAGAAATATTGCATTCAATCACATACTATACAGCTCAGATAGTTTAAAAATTTTCGGTTAAAAGATTTACTGTACTATCCTGTACTGGCAAGTGAACACCGTTCACGATGATACAGATAAATTGGATGTAAATTCATATTTAAGTGCAGGTATATTATAATAATGGGTATTATATTCGATGTCAATTAATGAAGAAAGAAATTGCAAAAATTGATCTGTCCTCTTAACCAATTAACTGGGTTTGACGAGTATACACGTCATCTTAAAGTCAAAATGATACTAATTCTTTCAACGATAAATTGTTTAGTTTTTCAGATAAACACGTAATTCTTCTTCGCTTTGCTTTAGCTTTTCTTTAGAATATATTACAGGTACATTTGACCTAATTTAACTTCATTATTCGATTTCATTGCGGGCATCAGAGATTTCCGAAATTAAATTCCACAGTTAACAGGTTAACCAGGATACCAGAAATCTCCGATCAATCTAACATTAAACGACATTTATTTGCATTCACCGAAAAAGCTAAAGATGGACGGGCGAAATCCGAAATGTTTCGCGAACCAGTTTGTGGTACAGTATTATGAACAAGAGTAACGCTCTTATTAACGAGCCATTTCACGGTTAATTTGTTGTAATTGCCAGGGGAGCGCATTGCGTTTGTTGCGCGAACAGCGGCCCGATTTGACGGCTCGGTATGATTTACGCGCTGGAGATAAAGAGTCCTCGATTAAAGCGCGCCTCTTATCCCGAGGGCGTATTGAGGCGTTTATAATGCAATTACGTTTTGTTTCTGTCCTAACCTTTCGCCGTAGCCTCCACTGACCAACATTTCCTACTACCGTGTCATTCGTAACAGAAGATTTTATTGCTTTACCGCGAATCAAGACGATTTATAACCTTTTGTAGCCCAACGTGATTTCGAGACAAGATTCATTAACCGTGCAGATAATCGATTGGTTAAATTATTTACTTACATGAAAGACGATAGAGAATAATATGTAGTTTCGTAAAATAGATTCTTTCTTAAAATCAATTTAATTAATTTTAAATTTCAAATTTTATAGAAAAAATTGTGTATTAAATTATCCTCTCACTTTATTTGCGCCTAAAGAACAATTTCCGTTTTTTGTAAATCAGACCTTAAGTATAAACATTTTTTTATTTCTTTAATCATCAATCAATTGATGAGATAAATCAATACCATGTATCGGCCACGCTAATATTTATAATAATATGCTTCAATTTTATTTTTGAAATTGTTAAAAGAAGATATTATAAATTTTATACGAATTACAAGAAATTATATACATACAAGCTATTTAGACTATATACAATATTTTTGAGTGAAACAAAAGTATCTTATGGAAATATTTTTGTTACCAAGCAGAAATGTAGACATATAGAATTTGATTTCTATAAGCGGACATTGATTATGACACTTTAATTTACAATATATCGAAATAGAAAACATATATCTATAATTAAAGTATACCTGTATCCAGTGATGGAAAATTATAATTAAGAGAATCCTAAACAGAAATGAACAAAAGTTTGGCGAATGAATGTATTGTAGTCGTAGTAGTAATAGTAGTAGCGGAAATGTTTAGTCATTATAAGATAAAACAATATTGCATAAATAGCATTTTCATTGATATAAAAAATGATTAATTATGTTTATTTCAACAAAAATTTTTGCTATCGGATTATTTATGATTCTTATGAAAGTCGCGAAGTCTCAATAGTAAAATATTTGTGTGTTTTCAAAGGTATGATCTTGGATCATGCATTAACTCTATGAAGAATTATGTTGACAGCATTCAGCTACTTAATTATCTAAAAGTAGATTGCATGTGCTAATTTTTGTATTTCTGCCATTCCATTAACCGTTTTCCAATTCACTAGATGTCCAGAGTGAACATGAATTTATTTTCAAAAAGCTTCAAATTCTTCATTTCTAAATTAGAATTCAAAACGTTCCTCTCAATTATGAACCCATATTTTCAACCTGAATAAAATTTGTATAAATATCTCTAATAACGATGTACTATACATACAAAATCTTTTTGTTATGCATCTAAAAGAACTCAGAACGTAAGAAAACGTATCCATACGTAAATGAATTTTCATTTGCTAATCTTAAAATAAATAAAAGAATGATAATAAAGAAAAATGAGATCAAATAAATGTAAACATATAGCTTATAACTGACTGAAAAATTATATGATGAATTTCTCAATTTTAGTACCATCAACAAATTCCTGTAATTCAGACAAAATTGACGAAAACTGCGTTCGTGCTAACTGTACATATAAAAATGTACATGTCGATAACGTTGAGACTGACATTGAAATGATATAACGACTTCAAAAACTATTTATTTTGTACCTTGTCTCTGTCAAGCAGATCGCTTATACAAGATTAAGATATATATTTATTTATTTCTTATAATACGTAGTCTAAACCGTTGGTATAATGAGATTTTTTTACTTACGAATCTATATTATCGATACTGCCAAAAATTCCTTATTATCCGAGCGCACTCTGTTCAAATTGAACGGCCAGTTAGTGAACTACGTAAATTGACATCCTAAAATTTTAACCGCGAATTACTGCATTCAAATATTGCGTGAATATGTGTGCAAACGAAATAGTATTTCTTTTTATATTATTGTAATATATACCCTTTCAACATTTAGAGTAAAAGTAGAGACTGGCAAACTAATTTTAAAATCTTTAATTCGGATATATTGTATTATTTAATATAACGTGCGAATGATGTATCAATAATTTTTAAAATGTATAGAGGAGAGTAGGGTAAATCGGAACACCAATGTTTTTCGTAGCAAGGAGCTCATATTGAACTAGTGTTGCATAACATAGATCTAATACATCCTCAGTATAGTTTGTGATCGACTGTAGATCAATGCACAAGCATTATCTACAAGAAACATTTGTATTCCGTTGTACCATACTCTACCCTACACCAATTAATAATAATAAACCGTAAAAAGATGTAAATAAAAATTGCAAACCGTGCAATAGCATTATTATAAAGTCTTTTTTTTTTCTATTAGATTTTCAAAACTGTAGCCGCAGAATATTTAAATACAAATAAAAGTATACAATTTTTATTACTTAAATTACAGAATACAATAAGAGGGGGTACAAATATGTTATAATAAGAAATAGATAATTAATGTTGTATAACATATGGAAACGTTTCTTAAGTTTTTTCGTGGTCTCTGAAAACAGTGGAATGATTCTGAAGAGTTTTAAATAACATAAATTATTAGTTTATCGGATGAAGAAACTCTTTCTTCTTCATTTGACATATTTTTATCTGTGCTTAAGTTACTTATATTTCATTATTTCCCCAATTACATTTAGACATAGAAAATTTATAAAAGATAGTTTAATACAATCGTGATCAATAATTAATTTGTCTAAGTCACAAGCAATGAACCAGAAAACTTTGGAGATAATATTGGAACATCTTTATTTTCCCTTACAAAACATGATTGTCACTGCTAACAAAATACTGTTATCATTAATATAATTTTAAATCATGTTAAGATTTATCACGTTGAAAGAAGTTTAAAAATATACATATTATTATATTCGTTTCACAAATGTTTATCCTTACAATTCCCTTAACAGACGCGATTACTTTATTTTTTGATATTTTCTGATTTACAAATGACTATACTTATACATATTCGTATACCTGCAACTTATTGATTATTTATTTGTACAAAGAACATATGATTATGGTATTTAATTAAAGATGATTGTTTCTTTTACAACTTTCTGTGTAAGGCTTACTGCGTATTATGCAACTACATACAATTAGAAGTGTACAAGACCTCGAGAATGTTCTGGATTTCTCAGAACGTTCGAGATTCTTCAGAATGTTCGAGATTTCTCAAAATGTTCGAGATTCCTCAGAATGTTCGAGATTCTTCAGAATGTTCGAGATTCCTCAGAATGTTCAAGATTCTTCAGAATGTTCGAGATTCCTCAAAATGTTCGAGATTTCTAAGAACGTTCAGTGAATACGACTGTGGTTTCAAATTTTTGATGTTTCAGACGTTTCAGAAAACTACATAGTAAGATTCGACTGTGATTTCCTATGGAATTCCAGAATTTTCTCAGAAATCGTGAACATTCTCGAGAATTCCAGAATATTTCCAGGAATCTTGGACATTTTTGGAAATTTCAACATTTTCTCGACAATTTCAGGATCTTGCACACCTTTAACACTAAACTTACCGGCATTTTAACTACCGATCATATTTTTGCGAAAAGTATTCAGTAGGTGATTGTTGATTTAATACGGAAACTGCACAAATAACTTTTGGATAATACGGAAAAGATTATATATATTCATTTGTTCTTAACAAAAACGAAAAACTCTCGATACATTTTTTATTTGACCGAGCGTGGTACGTTTAGTGTTAATGCCCTGAAACAGTTTCGAGGTCCCGAAATTTCTTCTTCCATTCCGACACGATAATATCGTCATCTCACACACCTCTATGTACAATATTAATATAAATACGACGTGTGAATTTTTATCTTATATTATTAATATATTATTTATTAAATATAGTACTTTATATTTAGTAAAAATATTTTTTCTTGAGCTCTGATGTAGTTTTGAGAATATTCTATTTAATATTTAGTAGTGAGTAGCAAACACATTATAATATATTAGAACTTTTTTATTTTGTTGATTTTTCTTTGAAAACTATAAAAACAGACATTATTTACTAAGTTAATTTTGGAACTTACGATTGTCGAACTTTTTTCCGAGTATTTAAGTACCTCGTAGGTTCTTCATCTATTGTTTCTATTCGCTTTTCTAAAGGCCACTGTATTACAGATGAAAATCTGTTTCTTTCAACGTGTTACTATAAATCATAAAATACATATTAATTAAATTCATCTGTGTTATAAAACAGACAGGTGTTCGATAGTGAATAGAATAATATATCCACATAATGTTGTGTCACTCTATAATCGAGACAAGACAAATTATAACGCAATGGTAGCGGAATCATTACAATCTTTATTTTTTTCCTGATATATTTCTTGTAAGTGGAGACAAAAGGAAAGCATAAAGTGTAACGATATGGTACTAGTAATATATCTACTCGTTGTCTATACATATAAAAGTCATTGTCTAGCTAATAATCACTGCCTGTGTTTCGACTGAGTATTATAGAAACGTCATAGTATGGCAATTTTTATGCTTTATAATTTGAACTTTTAAATTTGTTAGTTTTCATTTTCGCCTTATATTGATATGAAAAAATATCATTTAAATTTTCTCGTGTCCCTAACTAAACTAACTCGGATACTTGGGTATGTATCTAATAAGTCACAGCTCTACATTAAATACTCTGTATAGTACAGGCCGTACTACTCACTCTCGAACGTCATGTGTTTGAATAAAAAAATTTTAATCACATATCAATTATATTACATACATTTCCTTGAAGTGTAACTTTTCCGCTGTTAATGCAAGCTTTCTTATATTTCGAATTGTGGACGCAGCGGCTATTTGCACTTCCGGGTCATCTGATCCAACCAAACGCAATATATGCTGAAAAAGTGTATTAAGTATAATGTTGTCACCGTTATTTTCATTGAATTCTTAGCCACGGAAAAATATGTTGACGTTAGATGTAGAGATTAATAGAACATAATATATACACGTAGGTTTTAAAGTTTTTTGTTAACTGCTTTTGCCATATTATTTTGAATTCATACCATGTCTAGCGTAATGATCTTTTTAAACAAAGGCTTGTAGTGAATAATTAACGTTACATAATAAGTATAAAATAGAAAATGTATTAACTATTATCTAGTGTACGATAAAAGAGAAGTAGAATGTTATACCTTTATTACACCAGATGTGTGCATGGTAATACAATTTGTAGGTTCTTTACTCAAGTGATATGCCGCGATACAAACACCTCTGAGGACATCTGTATTTTTGCTACTCATGTATTTAACAAGTGGTGCAACTGCGTTTAATTGTCCAAATTTGTAACTATTTTCTTCCCATTCGCTACAATATGCTATAGCTAAAGTCAAGTTTGCACGTAACCCTTCATCTTTCTAAAATGACAAAATGTTAAACTATCAATATTGTTACTATTATTTATTGTTATAATTGAATACATTCATGCAAAGAGACAAATGGATTCATACAGATAATATAAATACAAATTATACCTGACAAAAATAATATAAAATTTCGTTCCAATAATTAGTAACTTTATGAAGCAATAATATCATTTTCAGAATATAGTGCTGATACTTAACCATTTGCACTATAATTTGTTTCTTAAATAGGATCAATACATCTACTGTAGCGTTAATAATTGATTAGGAATAGAACAAATTTTGATCCTTATTCTATATCTACGTTTACTCCAAAGGTTAACGATTGATAATAGAAAAGTAGTATTTAATTTATATTTAAAAAAAATAAGTAACACTTAGATTTGCCAAATTTACTTTAAAATTTTCGTCACGAGTCTGACACGATGTTATAGATCAAGGGGTTAACAGAGTTCATAAATATTTCTGTATATACAAATGTATGTTCACCATAATTTTAAAATTCAAATCATACTGGATATCTAAAAAATATAGAACATCTCGAAGTATGCATATTCCTTACAAATACAAATTAAAAAACTCTTAATAATTACTGTGCATATATCATCAAGTTTTATGATATCTTTTGTATTACTTATATTATATGAAAAAGTAAGAAAAATTATATTATTTTTATTGGTATTTTTATAAGTAACGGAACCGAATAGGCCTAAGACAAGAGTGTCCAATGAAATATAAACATTTTTAATATTTTATACTTTGTACGTTCTTAATAATTATTTATTATAAAATAATATAATTATTTAAAAACTATAAAATTATTTTATAAACTATTTGAGAAAATTAATTAAAAACCCTTCTGATGTTTAAAAGCTAAATAATACATATGAAGTTGAAGAAAATATTTTAAATCAAATGTAAATACAAGAATTACCGTTACTACAAGCTTCGCCAGCTCCTCTACCACGCCGTGATCGCTGAGAATACCTAGATTTTCTGGATCAGTAGCAATTTCAGCGATAGTTGCGCAAACTGCACTCAGCACTTCAGTATCTTTACTCTGAAGAAGGCTGACCGTAAGCTCTAGTCCACCTACAAATGCCCGAACCATTTCCGGTGAGTCTTTGGCGTACTTGATGCAAGGAACCAAAGCAAGACAAGCGTTCCTTTTGATTTTATCACTAGGATGTTTCAGCAATGACCAGATTAATCGGACACCGTCCAAAACATGCTCAGGGTCATTAATTATATCCATGCATTCATCATTTTGCGCACACTCCTTTAACACCAGTGGTACGTTCTCCAACAGTGGTTCATGCGTCGAAGTTAATAATCTGATCTACATATTAATAATAAATTTACAAAATTATTCAAAATTTTCAAATGTAAATCTTTTCGAATGGCTCTTTCTGATTCGGAATCTTTCTGATATGGCTTTCATTTTTTTAAGTATTTAGGTTCTATCATTTCACAAAAATATGAAAGACGGTTTTTAATGCAGAAGTCGGGAGAGCATAAATACTACATTAGTGTTGTGTATAAGCCTCCTTACAGGTTTTAAATAGCCTTGTTTCGTTGTATAGATCATACTTATTACTCTTATCAAAGAAAATTTTAATTAAAAATTTAATAAATAAATCTTGTAGATTTTCTTCCGCTGGAAGCGAATTTGAAAAAAGAGATTTTTAACTTTAAAAATTATTTGTATGTTAATTATAAAAACTACATGAAAGTTTCGTTTTTTAAATAATTTCATAAACACTTTCAAATAAGGTTATATCCATTTTTATAACATTTACAACAGTTAAATATTTATAAATAATTTTTAAATCGAGGAAGGCGCTTGTAACACGCAAATTTTTATAGAAAAATTTCTAAACATTTAAAATATGTAGAAATTTTAAAAGTAATGTGATTTTCAATAACTTTCTTGTATATACTATGTAGATGGTGCTGTATTATGAAAATTGATATCTGCTGCCACCTAACGCCACACTCAAGAACTTCGTATTATCACCACAAATCTATGATACATATTTCAATTCTAAATTGTAAAGTAGACTTCAGAATTATATACTTTTTACTTATATTATGAATATCAATTTTTATTTTTATAAAAAAAAGCATGAAATATTTCTTTGTTCATTAGTATTGTATTGGTTAATGTTTTCGTTTTCTTGTTAAATTTGTTGTATGACACAAGGAAACCAAAGTTATTATATCAGCTTACAATTCTTTTTGAAAAAAACTCTTTAAAAAGTTAACAATGCCGCCAACTTACTAGATTACTTAATATTCACCATTGTCTAAATTAAAACATGAAACAACCTGTTTACTATTTATAATAACAAAACTTTAGCGTAAGTTAAAGTTTAGCGTAAGTTAAAAATAAGGAACATATGAAGTACTCTGTTTTATTACCAGTTTTGGTAGCCCATCATTCATTCTAAGAATGTTCCTATTAGCAGGATCCTTGCAACATTCTGCTAGTGCACCGACAACATTCACTTGTACATCTTCGTCCTCGTACTCTTCTAAAAACGGCACCAATGAAGCTACTAACCCATTCTGATTGAACCTCGCTACATTTTCTGGGCTTATTGCACATTTCCAAATTCCGCCGGTGACAGCTGCTAAAAGGCTCTTGTTTTCATGAATTTCCTTGCTCTTCACTAGTTTGCATAACATATCCAAACCGTTCGTCTCCCGAACTATATCTCTTGCAACTTTATTTGGGCCACAGTTGAATATTGCTAACGCACAATTTTCTTTCAATTTAATATCCTCATTTTTCAAGTGATGCACTACTGCGCATACAATAATAGTGTTTTCGAACGCCTCCCGGAAAACTGACTGTAATGTACGAAGTATGAGTTCTATTATTCATATTTATTGACATTTTGTAAGAAGCTTTGAATAAGCTCTTACTAATCATCAATTAAATAATAATATTTAATCATATTTAAATATTTTGTATGCTCTGACCATGGATGCACATTGTTGAACTGCACCCATCATAGGTATCACTAATGCAGTGTGTTTCGATTTTAGAAAACGTTCCATAATTTTAACTACGCCATGTTTACGAAGTTCTTCTTTTACTTTCGGACTACTACTTAGAGAATCCAGCACCTTTGCACAAGCTATTGCAACTGATACCAATTCCTTGTTAGTTTCGTTCAAATCATCATAAGATTGGCGAAGAATAGAGTCGGGAACGTCCATTACATCCAACTATAAGGTATGACAAATTTATTTGCACATTAAACATATCAAGATTTATATTTTTCCTTTTACCACTAAACTAAATAAAATTTTATTATACTGAACATGAATAATCATTAATTTGACAAAATACTTACAATGAGAGGTATACCGCCTCGAAGACGTATTTGTTTTCGTGCTTTTCTTATTTGCGCGATAATTGCCATAGTCTCAGCAGCCAGAACCTTCATGCAAATTTATGCAAATAGTAACAAACTTGATCAAACATGAACCATCTGTAGTTTCAGTCTCTCTTAATAATAACTAAATAAAAATTCCTGTGCAATTAAGGTATAAAAGTAAAATGAACGATAAGAAAACTAACTTGAATATTTCTAGCTGGATGTTTTAACATTTGAATCAAGGGTGTTACGATACCAAGATCGATTAGATATCGTCGCATCTGTGAGGATTTTGAAACTTGACGTAAAACTGACAGAGAACCACTCTGACATTTTAAATCCTTCGTCTCGAGGAGATTCACTAAAATTTCTAAACCTCCCATTTCTTGAATCGCTCTTTGAATAATCTGTTTTCAAAAAATCAGTATTGTCCTTATAATACAGATACATTTAGATTAAAAATGTACGATATGATAATCATTATTGCTATGAAAAGATTATTTGATAACACAAAATATAAAGTCATACAAATTACTATGTATATACTACGTACATAATCAGTATATTATGATATTTTATAGCATTCTGTAGCATTTTATATTTTTAATATGTATGATATCAACTATTATTTTATAAAGACAGTATTATAATTAGTATCAATCAGAAAATACATGCCTATAAGAAAAGAAAGTTTAATGATAACATGGAATTCTTTTCCTAATTTTTATATGTTTCCAATAAGTTCTTAATTTCATTAATATCCATATGCTATTTATTGCTGTATTATAAATTATTGATAAGGTGTAAACTACTAAGTATTTAAATATTAAATTTAATTAAATTCGTAATTATAAAGCCAGTATGCAAGGAAATAAACAAAAGAGTTCTTTCGCTATTACCCTACTGCTGAGGTCGTAATCCTTTAAAAGACAAAGAGCCACTAGGGTGGCAGTCTGATTGCCTGCTTTCATATATCTGATAAGTTTCTGTATATGCCAAAATTCCGAAGGTACTTCCGATACATCTTCAGTCAATCGTTTTAGTTCTTCATCACTTTCAGATTCTGGTTCGTCGTCTGAGCTTTCGTCTTCCATTTTCTCGGTAATCTGTTGAACTCGTGGCCCAAAAGGCTCTCCAGTAACCATCGACACCAATGGCTTTGGTGGCTCTTCTGATTCTATTACTTCTGGAATATCCGGTTCAATTCTTTTTTCATAGAAAATGAATAATACATTAATACTCATTGCGAATTTTTAATAAATTTTGACCCCCTAATACATATGAAACGACTGTAATTTTGATATGAAGAGAAACACTCTAACATACATAGGTACATCAAGAGACGCCTCATAAACGAAGATAACTTTCAATAAATGTTTCAAATATACTATAAGATAATTTTTTTAAGTCAGTATTTTAATTCTACACAAAGAATTGAAGAGAAAGCAGAACATTTTTTCACGAGAATTTGAACTCGAATGTTCTGAATAACGCTAGTGTATCAGCTAGCAAATATCTGCAAGCTAAAATAATCGTCTCGAAATAAAAAAAAATAATTTTCAGACAAATTGGCACACAGAAGTAAAAAAAGATATTCAACGACCTTGAAAATGTAAAAGTGTTTAAAATCATTTTACATTACATCCTATATTTTATATTATACCATAATTATTACGTAACAGAAAAATAAAACATACCAAAAATTAAATATTTCCAAAAACACATATGTAATAATCTACCTGTGGCCTTAAAAGTTATAGATTTGCTATATAAGTTTGCTGTGTAAAACTATTGTCATAAATCGTTTATAAGTACAAAATATTATTGAATAAATAGGAAAATGTATGTTAACAATAATGTTTTTGGATTAGTGAAATGTGACTAATCCGAACGGATATTATTATTAAAAATAATAATTCTTAAATTCTTGTATTTCTTTAATTCTAACATATTATGTAGTAGTATGTCATGTATTATAGTATGTCATCACTTAATATGTAAAACACATTCAAGGAAATAAATGAGTAAAAGATGATTAAAATGAATAAAAAAATGTGTTAATCTGTTACTGAATATAAACGAATAAGTAATATTATAAATGATATAAGAAAATTTGTTATTTGCCGATTATAAACTTACGTTGGTGGTGGTTCAATAGACATCTTTTTAACATCTTTTTTCCGTTTCGGTGGCATGGTGTGTTACTTATAACTGTCGGAAAAGTATTTATATATCCGTTTGTTAGCTGAAAATTAATAATTTGGCGTCTACGTAGTTGTCTTTTATATTCAGAGTAACGTCGTTAAGCTTATCCTGCGCAAAACACTTTGATATCGATCAAACACCTACGTTGATATTATATCATTGAAGGTGGATATATTTTATAATATAAATATTAACACTTTCTTTCGTACGCGAGATAATCATAAAATGTTCTATACATAAGTCAAATTTTATTACTGATTAAAATAGACAGTTCCACATTACAAAATTATACATGTTTATCATTATCAATATCGAGTGAATTTCTGCTGCCTGAGATTGTCGTATTGTTCAAAATATCGATTAAGGTTCTTCATATTATATAATACAATCATATTAATAAATAAAATTAATATTTTCCATATGTTTAAAAGAAAACGTGCAAAAGAATAGAACTATATATTATATATTAAAATTTAACTTTATTAATTATATTCTAGATAGTTGTGATACTCTTATAAAAGAGATATAATTGAAATATAATAAGAAATACAATATTAAAAAGATATTAATACAATAATATAATCAGAAATTGAATGCATTTAAATGACATTTAGTACGGACTTATATACGCATGCACGTATCATTTTTATTAATTTTTTAAAATTTAAATAAAAATATTATAAACATAAATTGTATATAATGCAAAACTTCACATCACAAATTAATGCTGTATTTCCACCGTAATTGACAATGTATCTGTAGACATGACTTTCTAATTTTCTATTCAAATTTTGGCGCTCAAATTATTTAAAATTAAGATAGTGGTACGACTTGCAGAAATGCACTTGGATGCACTGCAGTGTTTATGCAGTGACAAGTTGCGGTTCTGTGATTATTTTTATTTAATTTAAGTAATAATTCATATTTATTTTGATCAGTAAGTATCCTAAATAATTCTTTAAAAATTAATATTTCTATTAATTTGAATGACAAATTTAAAAAGTTGCCTAAATAGAGAACTAAATTTTCGAAGTATACCTAACCTAAAAAGGTATTATTTATATGTACGTAAATAATTAAAGCAAAATTTATTTATATAAAATTATTTGTATAAAATTTCTTTGGTTACAGAGAAGCTATTGGAGGGGTAGTGTAAAAGTGATATAAGCGAATTTTTATCTATAAGCGCGGTAAGTATAAGATATAATATAAAATTCGTTCTTATGTGTACAGACTTTTATATCGTTTAATCTTATTCATAAGAGTTCTAGTAATTAAAGGTAATGTTTTTTTAAGATAAACAGCATGTTAACCATTTACATATACTTATATTATGTGAAAATGTTTCAAACATTTGTACCTTATGAAACTTAAGTAACATACCATTGATATATTGTAAGGATGCAAGATAGTTCGGAAAATTTAAGTAGAATAACAAATAAATCTTGAATAAAGTATAAGAACATCAATAATTAATAACCTATCTTAATATTTATATTTTGTTTCAGATGTGTATATTACAACATATTCAGTTGCATTATAAAAATACATTAAACAACGATAATCTAATTGAAGTTTGTTGAATATTAAATTTCATATTGAATCAGAAGAAAATTTTTTAACGATTCAAATATATTAGATAATATGAAAAACCTATACTAATGAGATGGGAAAGATATTACATATAAATAATATAAAAATATTTGTGGTGAAAATGTGAACCTGAAAATTAAATACTTATTGAGATCATATAGAGATGTCTATTCTGGATAGTTTGAAGCTATATCTTATTAAGATATTAAACGTTATTAATGTAAAGTTGTAATCTATAATTCTTTATGTATGTAAATAATGTAGTAGAATGTTCATGTACATATATTTATTCATTTGTGGCTTTTCAACTTAAAAAATTGCATACGATCTATAGTAACCTTTATCGAGTGGCTATTTATCTTTTAGTTACAGTTTCACAATGCTTTTACCTTGTTTCTTTTCTAAGTACATTTGATATAGAATATTGGGTCTTTCATATATTTTTGTATATTCTTCATATATATTCAAATTATATCCATTTATCTTATTTAATCAGTTTATTCTATATTTTATAAAAATGTTTGCAGTTTGTCATTGTTA